TATTAGAGTGGCTCACCCAGATGGTACTCAGTTGATTTTTTAAGCACCAATTGCCCAGATGTTAAAAAACCCAAGATTACCTCCAGATTCTATAAAAATACTTGGCATTATTTTCAAAAGGGTAGTGAGAAAACAAAATAGTCCTGCCATTATGGTTAAGAATTATTTTTATTACATCCCCTAAGAATAACACATTCAGGCTTTAGTATATGTAACATATAAAGAGTAAGCTATAAATAGTAAAAATGATCATTTTTCACAGCCTAAGTGTTATATAATTGTTCCAGATTACAATTCATATTTTTATTCTTAAAAACTTGGCAAGACAAGTGTTTGTTTTAAAAATTAATAGAAAATGAAGCTCACAGGAAGTGACAATTAAAAGCTAAATGTTGTGGTTTTGTCTCCCACCAGTTATTTAGGCATACGTTTTGGGGTGTTCTTTCTCATGTTTGCCACTTTCAAAAAAAATCAATAAAAAGCATGTGAAAATATCTAAATGAACACAGGGGAAATAGTGTCAGAAATCAATACGTCTCTACCAGCATGTTTAACCTGCTGAAATGAAGTGTTAATCACAGAAATAAGATACCATATTACATTTATAAACTAATGAAACTAGAAAAAGCAAAGCGTGTGACACTATAATTAAACAGCTGGAAGACATCCAAGCCTGTGTAAATTGATAACCCTGGTACAATCTCTGGCAGTGAAAAGGCAGGTCTGCAGTGAGTTGATATGGCCAGCTCAGTTGTTAATTGAATAACAGGCAATCTATAAACACTACTAATTGCATATGTGAAAACCTGTGTACAACTACAGAAGCTGCCTAGAGAATCACTCCAGAAAAACTACATGGATAAAGCACTCAGCAGATCTTCTGCCTCTCTCAATCCAGTTAAGTCATAGCTTAGTTTCGCCACTGCATCCTTCTGATTAACCTCGACACAGCAGACTTAATGATACATTTTTCCAAAGACCATTTTTCTTCCTCACTCAACACACACCACACAACTATCAATTACCCATTTCAGAAAAGAACAAACAAGTAATCTAGAAAATTCAGCCTGTGAATGGAAAGCTTTCTAAATTGTAAAAGAAGGCACGGTCTCATTCCCAACAGGCAAAATGCTTTTCAGAATTGTTCTGACGCATTTTGCAGAAGTGTGGCAGCTGCTGTGAACAGCATGAAGTGTTAAGATTTGACACTTTTTTTTTTTTTCTGAAGGATATAGCCATTTGGGGAGGCTCAGAAACTGTTGTCAAATTTTTCCTTATTCATCCATTCTTTTAAAATGATTATTCCAGTCCTGGTAAATACAAAGCACTTTAAAGATATTGCTCTAGGACCTAAACAAAATTTTTATTTTTAAAATCTGTAGCAGAGATAGATTGGCCCAAGGGATCAGTTATATGATATGAAAACTCCTCTAGTTGTACACTCAACCCAAATAAGGACAGTGAAGAACAAAGGTCACTATCATTCTAAAGGTGTCTAGGAGTTTCCATGAAATGAATTGGGATACTTAATCCTATCCTTTGTGGATGTAATGTCACATCACGAAACCCAGAATCACTAGCCAGAGCACTGAGTGGTATTCAGAATAATAAATATTAGTGCCAGACTGACTTGTACTGATATCATGCTCCAACACAAATGCGCTATGGATAAGAAACTTGGTTATGGGGCTCAGTTTCTTTATCTACCTAGTGGAATTACAGACTATATCTCACAAGGGTGGTACAGGAATCAAATAATATAAGAAACATGCAGAGTATCAAGCATAAAACCAGTAAGGATAGAATTTTTTCAAAATAAAATATGTACTACCCATGACAGACAAGTGGAAAGACTAAAATATGTTCAGCAACAGCATGCAGTCAAATAGCTGAATGGTGCTGGAAGCTGAGTTTTTCTCCCACTTCATCTGCATAGGATGAAAATACCAGGTTTTACCAAAATTCCATTGAAAAAGCATGGATTTGAAAGTCTTTAAGGTTAGAGACATATTTCAGCTAACACTCTACCAAGACTGTGGGTAATTTCTGAAAGAGGAAGTCTTCAATCCATTAGAAATAAAAATGAAAAAGAATCATTGTAAATAAACTGTTTTTAACAAACAGGTAAAAAAGGTATGACAAATGGGGTACACAGAGAAATAAGATGAAATGTACAAAAGAGGTATCATTTATGCTTTCAATCCAGATATTTGCTACCTGAAGAACTACCTGGGCATGTCAAGATGTCCCCAGACCACAAGAGAAAAGCCTGATTTTCAGCATTTACAGTTATTTCAACTACTTTTACAAAAAAGTATAGAAATTGTTTCTTCCAACACTCCCCTGAGCCATGTTAACTTAAAGCCTTGATGGACCAGGATCCAAGCAGGACTTTCCATCCACTAAAAGGCAGAATGAAGGTGAGGAGTACAGGATCTAGTTGCTGTTATAACTCAAAGTTCATTTTATGGTGGTGGAAATCCCACTTCCGATGTGGGCACGACGGCCTGTTGGAACCTATACCTGTTTCCCGCACATCCCGCCTCTCAGCACATGCAAGCAGTTAAGATTTCTCATCGTTACTGCATTTGAACTTTAAGAATATGGAAACTGTCAACATACAGCTCTCTGCTCTTGCATTAATTTTATCTTTTGCTCCAACAATCAAAATTTTATGTTCTGAAAGCCCAGAAACATTTTTAACAAATATTATACCCAGGTACATGTGAAATGACGCAAGATTCATTAACAATAATCAATACATTAAAACATAAACAGACTCAGATCACGCACATCCTAGATTGCAGGGGGTGGGGGAGGGAATACAAAGCTAACATTGCAGTGTACTCTGAATATCTAAATATGGATAAGGCATGACTATTTCCTAAATAATTGTATATGCATGTGTATAAGAATAAATGTCAGTCACCTAGATTTCAGTTATATGCATTAAATACATTACAACTATTATAGACAGCCAAAGGAACTATACTCAAAATGAAATTACATCCTTTAAAGTAGAAGAAATTAAAAGTAATATAACTTGAAGCAAACAGTACAAACAGGGGCGTCACCTAAACCATGCTTCAAAACTCATTTATTTGTAAATATGTGATCACTCAATGAAAAAAGTCCTTTAGGAAATAAGAAGTCATAGGTGCTAGTGAGTCAAATCAAGACAAAAATGAAGTCTTTGTGTGCTCTCCGCTGAAGCTAGTATTAAGGAAAGTCCCGAGACAAATAATGATGACTATTTTTCAAAAACCATTTATGTGATTACAGGAAGATTTTCAAATTGCCAGCATCAATAGCCCTGAAAGCACCGATTACTAATTTATTTTAATTCAAAACAACCACAAATGGCATTATATCAGAAAAATAGTAAGTTCTGAAGCCAAATAAAGAATCCTCAAGGAGCAAGAGTGACAATAAACCTCTAAATACCTATACTAAAAAGTATATATATTAGACTAACATTTTATGAGAGAACAAAGAATTGGTGTTTCCTAAAGAGAAAATAGCATTTTGCCAAGATGAGAAGTTGGGAGGTTGGGGGAGGCATGCCAGAGGAAGCTTCAATCCAAATAAGGAGTAGAGGTTTAAAAGTACATGACCTAATTTGGAAATGATGAGAAACAAAATGATTATTAGACCACTGAATATACAGAGGTTGAGCAATGGAATATAAACCTGTAAAGAGTTGGGATAGGCTTTAGGTTCCATGAGAGATAGTTTAGACTTTTTCTTAAAGTCAATGAAGAGACATCCAAGGGATATATTTGTTCAGGGAAGTGATGAACCCAACTGTGTTTCAGAGTTCTGATGGAGGGAACAAGGTGGGTGGGAGTAGAGACCAGACACATAATGAAGCCAGTTATTGGGGGGGAGGAGCAATAAAACTAAGTGAAAAGTGACACCAATAGAAGGTAGAGCAATAAAGCTGGAGGATTTACATGATACTAGAGGGTGATCACAGATAGAAACTTGACCTGGATTTGATAGGAGAGAGTTCAACCAAAGAAGCATGCCTTTTCTAGCTTGGGAAACTAAATATAAAGTGAGGCTACTAACCAAGAAAGGAAATACAGATGGGTAATGTTGAGGACTTCTGAAACCAGTCAGGATTAAAAAATCATTTATATGTTCATTGGAGAAAATACTAAGATATCTAAATTATAAGGAAGTTATGCCCAGGCATGCTAGGAAAATAGAAAAGTTTTGTTGTTTCAATTAAAGCAAACATGTTTATCCTTTTTAACTAAATCCACTGTCAACATTCTTTCTACACAGTAGAAACTCCAGCACAAAGTTTCTTAGAATGAATATCTCTATCGTCTTACTTCTCTGATTAATAATTTCCTGTGACTATCCTGCATAGGTAAATCAGACCTTCCCAGGCTCCAGAAATTAGGGAATCATGCAAATATTTTATATTCTTATTGAAAAGCACTATTGTTTAGAATTCATGTATTAAAAGCTGAAATACTACCATTAGAAATTATCAGAAAATGGGACCCTCCCTGGTGGCACAACAGGTTAGAATGCAGCACTGCAAGCTAGACACAACTACTTCAGTGTGAGTTAGATCTCCAGCGTTGGAGGTGATCCACATGGCGTGGCAGACCTCTCCTGTCTCGCCTGCTGCTCCCCTCAGCAGTGTACTTCATAGATCTGCCTGTTCTGCTCCCAACTCTGTTTCTGGTGAATCCTCTCACTGTCCCTCCTCCTCTGGCCTATACCCCAATTCTATATGCATAAATAAAAAAATAGATCTTAAAAAAAAAATCAGAAAATAACTGCTTGAGTTTCATGTGAATGTAAAACATAGGGGAGGAATATATTCAAGTTCTTCCCATTGTGTTCTAACTTGGCACACAGAGTTGGAGCAGGCCAGCCTAAGAATGGTTCAGACTGGAGATATGGCAATTTTTCAAGGGAAAGTGGATTGATTTAGTGTATATAAAAGAGGCAGAACAAACTTAAAGGAATGCATACATTACCTTCAACATCACAACTCAAGTAGTTACGGACTTCATTCAAAATAAAGTTGATATCTTCTTCTGAAGGAATAGGATGGTGTGTAATATCAGTTGGAGTGTCAGTAGTGCCAGCTATGGTCATCTTTTGCCAGGGTAAGAAGAAAATAACTCTCCCATCACTAGTTGCTGGGTCAAGAAGTCCCATACTCTCTGGACTGAGGTAAAAAGAATGGTCACATAGTTCTGAAATTAGCAGAAGTTTAATCTTCACCTACATTCTAGAAGTGATTTTATTCACTTAATCTCATGTAAACAAAACAAAAAACACTTAATCTATTAATTTTACTGGCACTACCTTACTCTAGAAATTCCTAAAAGAAAAAATAAAGTAACAAAAAGGAAGGGAGGAAGTGTGATCATAATAATATTCCAGAGAAGAACCAGCCCTCCCCTTCTCAACAACTGAAAGTCAATTACTAAAGTGAGCTTCACCTTCTAGTTGTTTTGGCTTTTATATTCCTTGGGCCATTCACATCAGATAATGTCAGCAGAATAAATGTCTATAATTTCTTTGATGATGTCAATTAAAGGATAGCTCTTCAACCTTTTTCAAATCTATGACAAATATGTTCCTGAGACATTTGACATTTGGCACGTCTTCAGAGCAGGTTTCAGAAGTACATGAGAAAAATATAGGGCCTAACTTTCTAAAAAATAAAATGTAATCAAAAAGGTCTTTACTCTTTTGTGGGCTAGATGAACTTGTACTCTTCACCAAATATAAGATTTCTTGCTTTATTTCAGTTTTACAGCAATCTCAAGAAATGTTTCCATGAGCAAAGGTCTCAATTTTCTACTACTACCTAAATAACAAAGTACTAAGTAAGGTCAAAAGGGAAAGGAATATCTTAGCAAGGAAATCTTTAAATAGAAGATGCTAGTGCATTATGCTTTTAAATCAAGGTTCGAGGGTACCTCTTCTGACAGATTATACAAAATCTTCCAAACTGTTAATCGAGAACATTCACTCACATTCATTTAACATTAAAAAACATATAAAACACACTTGAAAGAATAGGCAAATGTAAGTAAACACTTAAAAATCCAAGACACTACTGTTTTAATACACTAAAAAGTGTTGTATTCATTAATCACTCAAAGAAAATTGGTGAAGTTGCTAATGGAATAGGAGAAATCTGAGAGTACCAGAATACAAATCTTTAGAAAGCTGCTTACTTTGACTGAATTATCATAGCAAATCAGGGCTACAATATTATCTGTAAATATATTCAGTGTCTACTAATGCAATTCCTTAAATAGGGAACACAATCCTATTTAGTTTAAGTAAATTTCAAGAAATCTCTCATACCCATAAATTTAAAAGGACACATAGTCAACACTTTATGTTTACCATTTCCTAAGAAAAAAAAAATTTAATTCAGATTGATTCCAAAGTGTAGAGATGGGAGAACTAAATATTTTTGTGAAAAAGAAACCTATAGTCCACTTAGCCAATATGTCTTCTTTTTTTAAGTAATGAGAATTATTGTCTCTCTGCAAAGGCCCATCAGCCTTTGAATTGCTTGCCATTTCTACACAGACTTTGTGGGAAAAAAATCACTGTCTACAGACTAGTTGAGAGGCACACGTGGGAGAGGGGCATGTAAAAAGTCTTAAATAAGAATGCCAATCATTCAAACCACCAGCTAAGATAACATTTTCATTCAGTTACTAGAGGAAGTAATTTTGTATTCCTATATATTGAAAACTAGAAGTATCGATAATTTTTAGTCTCTTTATGACAACATATTTTTCTTTGTGTTTGTCATGAAACTCTAGAAATTTTAAAAGAAATTATGTGTTTTGTAAGTGCCTATTTTGATTCTCATATGATTACTCACATTTAAATCATTCACCTTGGGATTGGAAATTAGCTCAGAGTTTAAGTTTTCAATTTGATAAACAGTGCTTTATTAAAACAGGATAAACTCTATAGTTAATAACATAGCTGGAAGATATCATATTTTGGCATGTCTAATATATGATCAATTTATTGACCAATATCATATAAAGTATCAAATTCAATAAACATAATCAGCCTCAGCATAAAATTATAATATTCAGCAACCTACACATGATATTCTGTTAGAAAAGCACAAGCACTGAATCCTTTAAAAATCTTTCGGTGCAATAAAAGCAGTTTAAAGGGTGAAGGTGACGGTTGCCAACACACACACATATCTGGAACCTGTAGAGAATCAACTGCTTAAGTGAAGACATATGTGTCAAACATAAAATTAACAAGCACAGTGGGAAGACAAAGCTATTAATGAATGATATAAAAATTTTAGAATCCACTTGGAAATACCTTTCATCGGTTCTAAATTACCTAATTCATATTCTTCCTTAGGGAAAAGTTTGTTTTCTTATGAAGGATTAATTCTGTAAGGTCACACTGAAGTTTGAAAGTAGATACGAACTATAGTGATGATATATACAGCACAGTGAGGCACAGGTCCTTTGTCCATTTGTATGACACACTTGCCATCAGGGAGGAAAACTTGCTGCTAATTTATGTGTGTGTGTCGGATTAAACACAATGAACATTTTTCTCATGCAGACCACTGCATTCCTGAAATACCTTTATTTAAAGGGAAATCAATTTATTGTTAACTGCTTAACAATCAATGTCTCAGCTAACAGTATGCAACACATTACAGAAAAAAAAATTGAACTCTTAGTCATAAAATGTATCTGTGGGCTAGATGGAGGAAACAGCATTTTTCATGCATTTCAGTCATTTGGTGCACTGCTGCTTTTTAAGAGGATCTAGCCACAACTGACAAATATCCAGATTTGTTCTTAATGCAAACTATAGTACCTTTGAAAAATACGAATTCTCTGTTTGGGGCCTTCTGAAAGTAAAATGATAATAGAAGGAAAAGAAAAAAGTTGCTACTATGGTATAAGATCATTCTACAGGTGGCATGTTAGTTGGGTTTATAACTTAAATACCATTAACAATAAATAAGATGAAGATGCTGTGAAAACAGTCCAACGAAACACAGAGTACTGGTGTTCCTTGCTCTTCATTTAGCAGCCTACATGCAATAAACTAGTAGTTACTGAATTCACTGCATTTCCAAACTCATTAGAAATAATAGGTCTAAGTTATCATCAGCTGGAATATCATCAGCTCAGGGTTCTGACCCATCCCTGAGGAACTAGTCAAATCCTTGACTTTTAATTGCTTAAGAGATTGATGAATTCAGGGAGCCTTTTCAGCCTGAGATCTTCTGACCTACCTCCCACTCCCTGCCCCAAATGACTTGCTTTGGAGAGCAAAGCCATCCCAGGCACCAGAAATACAGCTCAAGATCAGTGCTACAAGGGAGGGTAAACTCTGATCCAGGCTGCAACCCGAAACCAAGAGGCTCCTCTTCAGCAGTCTGACCAGAGGACTGAACGCCACTATCCAGTTTCCCTGATGGGTGTGCAGTAGAGGTGGTACTAGGTGATAAATGCAGAAATTAATTTCTCCCAGAGTAGAATGTGATCACTGACTGCATCTTAGATTCCAACAGACCCCAATTTGATAATTTATGGCAAGGGACAGGGAAGCTAAAGCAAAATTTTTATCATTAAGAAAGGCATTCTGTTTTGAAACTATTTCCGCTAGGTGATACAGATTGATATTCCATAGTAAACACCTATCTTCTCTGTTGTTACCGCAATAAAGCACACAGAACAGTATGTGTTACATAACCTCTTTCATGTAAAAATTTTAAAAGGAAATACATTAGTACAAGTGCAGACAAAAAAATCATATGGAAGTGTTAACAATTACCAGAGAGCAGAAGTCAAGGGGTGAGTGTGGTGAGAACATGAGGAAGAAGATATTTTGTATCATTCTATTTTTCTAAAATGATAACTTTTACCTAGTTATTTCTATCGATAGAGTTATTTGGGCAATACGATAAAGAAACATATTTTGTTTAACTTCTCCATATCAAAAAAATTAAGATGTTACTTTAAAATTTTGATTAATAAAAACAATCTCAGTTTGGGAAAGTTAATAAAAAATACTTACTGGGCACTATTATATGCCAGATACTGTACCAGGAACAGGGAATAGAGCATTCAACAAAAAAGATTAAATGTCATCAAAGGGTCATTTTCAAAATTTATACAAGATAGGTGCTATCATGAAATAAGGAACCACAAGCTGAAAGATGTAGATTATCATGGTTACACAGTCAGTAAGAGATAAAGAGATTAACAAACCAGGATGTTCTACATCAAGGTATCATCTTAACTTACTCTCCCTATTGTGTCCTTGAATGTGCACCCTAAAAGAGCAAAATGTCTCCCTATTTTAATGATGGGGAAACTAAGGTTCATAAAATAAAATGTCTGTCCCAATGACATCATTATTAAATGGCAAAATTCACATACGGAATAATAGTATCCTCTGACATCGTGGAATAATAAGAAAGGAAATACAAAGAGAAGAGAATGTGTCTCACATTCTCTTGAAGACATCTTAGAGTTGGAAAGATTATGAATATGACAATATGTGTAATATTTAGGTATTACGTCTTCACTTATTCCTAAAGAATTAAAAATCAACCTACCCACACCTCCTGACCCCCCCAAAAATCCTTATAAATTAGCTGGTTTTGAATATTCTTTTTAAATTGCATTGCTTTTCATTGAGGTTGCATTACTTTACCAAACTATATATGATTTGTGGGCCTCCCTCCCTTTTTAAACCAACATTATATATGTATGTATGTGATACACACACACATACACACATATATAAATGTATATGTGTATAATTATGCCTGAAATTGTTGTTGGAAATTTCTCTGTACACAAGAAACATTTCCTAAATTTACTACTGTTATCTTTCTTTTTTTGAACTCGATTAGCAATTTTTAAGATTGTATGAGGTACCATTGCATACACTTTTATTATCAAGAAAAGCACCTTGGTTTCTCCAGTCTAGAAATACTAGACGTAGAAAATGAGAAGGAAGCCATGGCATGGGTGGATAAGAAATTCTTTTTAATATTTTTCTTAGTAAAAAGCTAATGATTTTCTCAGTAGCAAATGTATAATTTAAGTGCAACTTAGGCCATCTTTAGGAAAATTAAGTTACCAGTTAATAAGGAGACATCTATTACATATCAGAATAACAGTCTAGGGCAATGCAGAAAAAAAGTGTATATAGATAGATAGATAGATAGATAGATAGATAGATAGGTAGATAGATAGATAGATAGATAGATAGATAGATAGATAGATAGATAGATAGATAGATAGATAGACAGATAGATTCTGCACATTTATCAAATATTAAAAGATATATGTACCCTTTATGCAAAATCACCAAAATAAGGAAGATATACTGCTCATCCTAAGCACATTAGGAAAAAAATAAACAATCACCTCTAACGCTTACCTACAATCATTAACCTAGAGGTATAGCATTCAACTTATTTCCTCTTGATCTTTTCTTTGTATATTTATAAAATCCTCAGGTAATAACATGCATTCAACCTATCACCCTCCATTCTATGCTAACATTGAATCATCAGTGTTTTCCTAACACATTAAAGTTATGTACAGTTATATTTTAATGACCATATTATAATTCCTTTGTTTGACCATGAATTGTTTATTTCCCGGAGATTAGGAATAATGTTTTCTAATACTTCTTGACTACAAGTAACATCAAAATGAATAACTTGAACATAAATCATTATTTCACAGAAAACTTTTGTTTGCCTGCTAGATTTATCACACATGCGCAAAATGAGTACACATGTTCCACACCTCTAGCAAGAGCACATGAGTATCTTCTATGGATGTCTTGAATATGAGTAATCATTATTAATTTCTTAGCTAGAACCATATACTTGTATCTTTGGTAAGGAGTTCAAATACAGAAAAATAGAATAGTTTCATGAATCCTCATGTGACCATCATCCAACTGAAATGATTTTCAATAAATGGCTACTCATTTCATCTCTATCGCTAACCATTTCCACCCTGATTATCTGTGTTAATGTATTAGTTTAGAAATTTAAATTTTTACTTACTATTTTTTCAAAATACATTTCACAAATTATAAACAACACCACTTGGGTAGTCTTTATTTTCAGATTCTTTATAGGCATATTTTACAGAATTTTAATGTCTTAATTAAAATAATTCCTTTATGGAAATTTTTGCAAAGTTAAATTTTTAATGTTCTAATTAGAATTCAAGTCTCTGGAGATAAGTGTACTGAACAAAGCACAAAAATAGGTCCCAAGTCATTAACCTCTAAAAAGGAGTATTGCCATAAACGCTAAGGAATTCCCAAGTGTGGTTTATATTTTGTGCTTTGGATGTATTCCTTTCCTAACTTCTCCCCAGTTTGAATAGCCCATCTATTAGTTAAGAAATGTGTGCTAAAAAACAAAAACAAAAAAAAAAGCAGATATCGGCACTCTATATAGCTTTCATTGCCTGGCCATGACCCCTGAGTTGGAATAGTTACCTGTAGTAACCTGGCATCACAATATGGACGCCCGCGCTCGGCTGGCAGATCGCTGCTGCATTCTTATCATCCATTTTGCGTACGGTGTCTGTGAAAGGTCCCGTAGCATTGATAACACATTTGGCTCTCACATCAAATTCCTGCCCTGTGTAAGAAAGCAGCATCAATCACACACCCCATTTGTTTCTCTGCTCACTGATGCTTTGGATTATTAATTCATCTATTAACTTAACTTATGGCGAAGTATATTGTATACCACGCTAAGTGACATGAGCAGCCAAAGCTATTGAAAAGCCACTCAAAAGGCTCTCATCTGAGTAAATTTACCCAAAAGAAAGTCCAAATCAAAGAAAAACATGCCACTTTTTCATTTCCACTCTCAGTCTAATTTGCAGTGCCCAGAGTAAAGTACACACCGAGAAAGTGGGAAAAGTACATAAGTCACTTTCTTTTAAACTGAAATTTGTAAGTAGCATTGCTGTGGTGAGATAATGTAGTTCACAGCGCTGGTTTTGTTCAAGGAAAACTCTGCCTACGTAGCCACAGATCCAGAGCAAGCAGGAAAACCTAACCCAAGTTAAAGTGATTGACTTTAACGACATGTACAGGCCCTGCCTATGTCACCTGACACTTTGCAACTTGACACATTTATTTAATTTTATTAATAACATGTTTTTATACAGAAAACAATGCATTCATAGCTGTGGGAATTTTGTGGGCATTTATTATTATCATTATCATCATTATTATTTAGCACAAAAGGGGAAAATTGCCAAGTCTCGCAAGGGAAAATTTTCATGTTAAGCCAGTCACTGTTGACAAGAAAGAATATAATTAATATGACTCTGAACTCGGATTTAAATAAAAGAGAAGTGACAGAAAAATTATAACTTAGTCATTATGTGGGCAAGGTAAGATGCAAAGCAATACTTCCCTACCAGAACCGTGGCATACCTGTGAGTACATCTCTGCACCGGGCACCGCTAACACGCTCCAGCCCTGTTTGGGGGTCTTTCTTCTTAAGCAAGTTCACAACCTCCATGTAATTGGCTGTGGCAGCCCCATACCTGGCAGCAGTGAGAGCAATGGCAAGGTTCATCCGTGCATCGTTGTGTTGTCCTGCAGGGGAGGAAAGCATCAGATGAGGGACAGGAGTCACCCGGAGCCTCAGATTGGTGGTACAGAAGTGTGTCACAACAGATATGTCACATCAGCCCCTGTCACCCAGGATATACATAATGGCTGGTCAGGCTCTAGGGGACATGATTTAAAAGTACACGATCGTTCTCAGTCAAGCATTTACCTGTATACTTTCTGGCAAGCATGCTCTGTGTACCATAAAAAGGGTAGAAAAAAATCCCTTTCCTACAGAACTCACACCAATTAAGTTAAGAAATAAGTGAGTATTCGCTCAATTTGGGAACATATGTATATGTCAGACTTTCCCTAATACAGACAAACTGTATGCATGAACGTGAGGCAATTCAAAACTTCAGAATATTTGACACCCCAACTGGTGTTGATTAACAATTTTTATGAGTATGTGTTCTATCTAATATTCAAAAATCAAGAGCTTAATCTTCCATAGAGACTTTCAGTATTCTATAAAAGGTTTTTTCTTGGTTTGAATTTTGATAAGAGCTCCTGCCTTAAAATGTAACATTTTTTTTAATCGCACATAAAAGGTAAGAAATTAAGCAGGGCAAAATTTAATTACAGAACAATTCCTACCTGTATTGTTAAAGATTTATTGCTGAAAATTTCTAGTTAAAGAAAACTGAGGGGGAGGAAAAGGGGGGAAAGATGATTAATCACTTTAAAATACTGGCATCACTAGAGACTTTTTCTATTTATTATTGCCAGTGGAGTTAACGCTGACCAGGAAGAATTACTCTACATTGCAGGGGCCAGGTTCTCTGTGCCCTGAATAATTAATTACCTAGGACTAGATGTATTGAAGCAGGGTTCAAATTCCCACACACTGGGATCTGTTCTATCAAGATAATACTGATAAAGGGATGAATTTGTAATGGATATTGTTGTTGATTTATGTTGCCAGCATACCAAACATTTAGTATAAATGGTTTATGTAAAGTTTCTTCCTTGTGATTCAGTCTGTGCAGGGCAAGAAGCACTACACAGGTAATCTGTTCCAGCTAAAAGGGCAAAGTTATAAAGAGAGAATCAATGACTGAAGATTTTGCCGCCCCCCCCCAACATCTTATTCTAAAACCTCTGAGCTAATATAATCAGCCAACAACCTTTCCCTCAAAATTAAATCCTCTATCAACTGTAGAACATAAATTAAACCACAACATGCAGAATAAGGAGTTATTTTATGTAAAAATTAACAGAATGAATAGGAGAAGAAAAAACACAATGGCATCAATCAGTAGTGGCTGGGCTATAAGAAGAGGAGTAGCAATTCTATCAATTTCAACTCAGCATGACTGAAACTGCCATTAAAATAGTCAGCAGGTGTATTTAAAGTTAAGTTTAAGAAACCAACATAATGAAATACACTATGCAAGAGTAATAAGTATTTGGTCATACAAGAAACACAGTCATATATGTAGGGCTTAGAAACAGTCATTTCAGGTGTGCCTGAATTTCCACACAGGACAAGTGTCTAGAAAGCCATGTGCAAATTAACTAATCCTAAATGAAGTCACTGTTCAAAGGAACCAGGCAGAAATTCCATTTATTAAATGGCAGATTCATTTGTAACGTGGTTTACCAATTACATGATCACCTGGGAATAAACTCAATACTTTGAAAATGCAAAAATCTTTCTTTTCATACATTTTCAATGGACAAAATCTCACTGGAGCAATACCGGTATAGTTCATTAAGTGCTGTTACGTCTATACTGAGAAATAACTTCCCTAGTTAGCTTCCACATCCCAACAATGTTGAAGAAAAACAAAGTCAGTTCAGTTAAAAGCATGAGGTAGAGACAAATCCCTTGGCTTTTGTTTTTCACACCCACACTGGTAGTACTGCCTTGCCTCTTACTTATATCTGAAGGTCCGTCGTGATTAGATCTTCAATTGCACTGAGATAATTCTTCTGCTCCACTCTTTACTAAGAATGCAAATCCCTGAACCTCCATACCATTTCACACTGCCTTGGTTTTTTTGTCCATTCTAATTCTTCCAGCTGGAACACTATTCTGGGAACTGGACAGCACTGACTGCTCTCTCAAGAGTCCTTTCAACTATCTTCCCATCTACCCTTTATCTGCATCCCTCGATAGTAAAGTTGTTCATCCTTCTTTTGGGTCAGTATTCTATTCTGTGCATGCCTATTTTCTAGTCTTTATGATGCTGTGGATTTTCCATACACTTAAAAAAAATAAACCTTGATTTTAAGTCAGGCACTGTAGCAAATCAAGGAGTACACTTGTGAGAAAGATACAGCGTGGTCTCTGCTCTCATGAAATTTATATCCCATTGTAACTTCAATATCATTGGCCACGTCTCCTCTGCCCAGTCATAGGAAGACTAACCTTACTTGTTCTTTCTTTTTTCGATTTCTTTAATAGCACCAGATACACAATAAACACCCAGTAAGTGTTAAAATGTAGCTAAATTCCATTCAGTGTGTTAATAGACAAGTATTTGGATATAGTCTTGTCTCTAACGATGCTTCGGAATGTTTCTTGGTAAAGAAATTTCAGACATTAGTGATTTGGTGGCAAAAAAATTGAAGAAAGCAGGAAAACTCCAGAAATGCAAAATATGAACATAAATCTAAGCTAGTCCTTATACTGAAATCAAATAAGTGGGACAAAGGAGAAATGATATAAATAATTCCCTTATGAGTTATCTCACAGGTTGCCTCTAGCTTTGCAGGGAAATGCAAGCACAGGTAGCAATAAGCACCTCAAAATTGAGCAACCAGTAGTTTGACTTCCCTGCGGACCCAGGAGCTCACACTTCTATTCAGAAATCTCCTTTGCAGGCATTCAGTTTGATTCATTTACCTCCTTAGAGTCAGGATAGACCTCCTCCTCCCCTACTCATATTAAGCTTACCCTTTACCCTGAGATACCCAGATGCTCACAGTGTATGCTTCCTGGGATAAGTGGTATGTTTTCACTATTCCTAACAAAATTCTCCCAACCCCCATTCCTGACATTTTGAGAGGTATCTATATGCCTCCTGTAATTTTATTTCTGGAGAAAAAAGTTTCTGACAACACTGCATGTCATTGGAAATGCAATACAATAATCTCAACTCCCCCCACCCAATTGATCTGCTTATTAAGATTGGATTTTCAAATCTGTTTCCTTAGAGCAGGCAACATGATACTACTCACTGATCAGTGAATAGCTTTACATTGGCACTTACACAAGGACCCAGACGGGGACTGTGAAAATCTGTTTCTTGCTCTGTTCTCCTTTTGCACTTGAAATCTTACATATGTGCACATACTGAACTTACAACTCATCTGAGAGGAAGCACATAGGAGGTGGAACTATAACTGTTTTCCCTTGTTTAGAAAAACAAAATATAAAACCTAACCACCCAAAAGAATGAAGGTAGGGGTGGCAAAAAAGGATTTTTGCTTTAAGCCTTCAATGGCCCAACACATAGGACAGAGAAAGGGATATTAGTTGAAAAGGATTTTAGGATATAGTCATATAAAAGATATACCTCAAAAATAAATATTCTGGAGACATAATAATTGCTCTTCTCAGGGGATTTCAGTTTGGCAACAAAGTATACAAGAAAAAAGGAGAAAAAAAAATCCTTGAAAGAATAAACAACATGAAAAAGAGAATAAATATGAAAAAGAATCCTAGGTCACAAATCACCTAGCATTTTCCGGGTCCTTCATTTCTGAAATTCTGTGATACTCTGAAATTGTTCATGCAATCTTAAGAGAGTGTATGGAACTATCTAGGAACCTCAGAATCTAGAAAAGTCTAATTGTTAGGAAAAAACAACATATCTTCAATAAAAATTGCCATTGTTAAAATGTTGAGAATATTTCCTTTCACTTCCCTCTGCCCTGACCTTGGTCTTGTGCAATTATATGATGACTTGTAGCAGGGGAAAAAAAGATGCTTGAAAGGAAGACTGTCCCCCTAAACCTTGAGTCCATTTCTAACAGAATACACATGGCATGCTTCACTGTCTCTGATGGACAGTGTCACACTGACCTCTCAGTAGTTTCTCCCCAGCAGCCCAGCAAATGTAATTCAAAGGCTGACCTATCAAACTGAAGTGGATTTAACATAGTTGTTATATTGAAAACTTCCTTTATGTGGAAAAGAATGAAGGTAAATGTGGAGCAAAATGTGTGTATTTGTGTGTGTGTCTGTGTATGTAACAGAATCACTAAATACTATTTTAAGAATTTCTGCCGAGTAAGCTTACAAAAGAAAACTCAAAACAAGAACATAAATTGGACAATACAATTTCCAAAGTACATTAATTATGAAAGTGACTACTTGAATTGGGAGTGGCAGGGATCAGGCAGCTACATGAAGAGTTTAGGGGGAATGTACCTTCCAAAATATAGTGGAGAATGGCTCTCGTGGCTCTGGGCTTTGAACAATAAGGTTCCAAGTTTATGGTGAATTACTAACCTACTGTGGAAATAAACTCCTCTGAGTTTTAGTACTCTGTAGAAGGAGAGGAGTTGGGTGGGCATCTCTGAAATTATATAATGCATGTAATAGTTACACTTCAACAGCTACCTATTCCTTTCAAGATTTCCCTTCAACCTTTTCTTCATTTCTGCTTTCCCTAACTTTGTTTCAGTATGCCTAAAAAAATAGGACATTCATAAAGGCCAAAAGACAAGTGCTTTATAAAGGAAATTAGAAAAATCAAATCAGAAATCATAGTCTTCCATATATCTAGAATGATTTCCTGATTTTTTTGGTGAACTGTACAGTATATTGCAAAAACTATCCCAATTTTTCGTACCTCCCTGTAGCCATCAGTCTTCACAGAGTCCTTAAACTCAGACCACTGCTAATTCACAATCATATCCAAAACTTATATAAAACATTAACTACCAGACAGGTGGTATTAGCAAAACCCTGTTTGATTAAAGTGTGCTTGCAAAGTAATTTTTTTCATTCATAAAGAATGCATTGATATGTT